GAGGGGAGATACACACACAGAGAGATACACACACAACATTACACTAGGTATCCTTTAATGTAGCTCATTTTGATGCATTGTAGCTGTACATGTAGCGTAGGCTTTACTTGGGAGAAAGAATTTCTGCCAGCCTAAGGTTCTCTTCAAAGATCAAGGGAGCTCCTGAATTCTTTTGACATTACCTATTCTAGATTAGTATGGCATGATAATCACTAGTAATATTTTCTTAGCAGTCTGTGTATAGAGCATGACAATCAAAACAGATCTATCAGCAGCAATGGGTTCAGTATGTGGTATAGCTTTAATTGCACTTAAGAGAACCCATTTGCTTTTACCACTCAGAAAACCCCAAGCCCTAATTATTTCCATTGGGGTAGTTAGAATAGCATGCTTTGGCAGTAGCCTCAAGTCAGATTAAATGTTATTTATTTCCTTAGTGCTGGTTCTTCAATTGATTGCTACATTCAAAACGTAAGGAGGAGGGTTGATTGTCTCCTACTGGGCCAATCTGGAAGAGGACAAGGAAAGAAGCCACTTTATGAAAGAAACCATTGTCCTTTGAAGTTTGCTCCACTACAGGAGATAGTTATATAAATCTCCGCTCCACTCATATTCTCAATATTTCTTTACAGAAATCCATGCCGATCCAAGCTTCTGAGTAAAGCCAATGGGCAGCTCATGGTAGAGGAAAGTCATATCCCACTATGCATTAAATTAGGCGGACCGGCAACTTTAATCAAGATTACCAGGATTTCATGGGTCCAACAGGGGATGGGGGTGGGGAAGAATAGATTCAAACAGGAATGGGAAATTTTGGAATGTCAAGAAGATAGTGACTCATTACAACTCCTTTTTGACTTATGAGAATAGTCAACAAAAGCCTTCCTTGAGTCACAAATAGAATATATACATTTAATAAGGCTATTTAAATATTTCCCACCTTCTAATTATAATTATTTTACTTGTATTTGTTCCCACTTCTTTTATTTAACAGTTAATTGTTCGACAGCTTTAATTGTTTAAATGCTTAATCACTTAAGTGTACAGTTTACCTGTGTTTTGTTGCTGCTCCCAGTTATGTTTGTTTTGCTGTCCTTTGTCTTTTTTAAAAAATAAAATAAACACCACCACTTCCTGCTTCACACCTGGGGACATACGATTATTTTGAAAGGGCTCTGGCTGCCTTTCTGTGGAAAAGAGCAGATCAAGAAACTAAGCGTGGTTATATATTTTCTATGTTAAAATCTTAACTGGGGAAGGGGCATTAAAAGAATCAGAGGCACTTCAGTGGGTGGATTACAGAGCTGTAATTGAGAGAAAGATTTGGTGGGAAAGATGCCAAAAATATTTGATTGCCAATGAATGGCAGGAAGGTTTTCTTTTTCTTTTGAAAAACACCCAAATCTAGAACATGTCAAGAATGAGGCCTGGTGACCTGTTTGCAGCTTGAATGTGTTTAGGTGATTTCAACATCTTGTAAGCATAATGTAATCAGAGCTCTCAGGTATTCTTGAACTTGGCACCTTGCTGCATAATCTGTTAGGGCGTGTTTCAATTTCATTTTTCATCTTCATGCGATAACTACACAAAGCTCCCTTTTCAAACCCAGTTGCATAATGTTCTATTTGGTTATAAAACGGTATAAGCTCTGGAAAAGGACTCGCTAAAGAGAGCTAGGCTCGCAACTGCATATTCATCCAGTACTGGTGTTGTTGTCAATAACACCATCATCTCTGTATGTCTAAAACACTTTCTCCCCTTTATATATCAAAGGTGGAAGTAACTTAGAGAAGGGTCTCGGCAAATATTTTCCTATCTTAATAATACTAATATATCCAAAACATATAATACACATTCAAAATTAAATAGGAATCCATTATATGCATATTTCAAATGTGGAAAGTTTTTTTTAAATGCATTATCTGTTTTCTGAGTCTTATTGCTCCAATAATTAATAAACTGTGTCATTTTTGAAAGAAATAATTATATTGTTGCTTTCTGCCTTTATCTCTTATATAACTAGTGAATTTTGCCATGATGACACAGCCTGGGTTTCGTTTTCCCACTCTATAATCACTGGGTTATCAAATTGTTTTCCATAATTGCCCTAACACACGCTAGTGGTTGTCATCATATATAAGACTCATTTCTCAAGACATCTAGGAATTGTTTTAGAATAGTTTTAACACAATAGTCATGGATCTAAGTCTAATTTCTCATGCTTTATCTGCTCCATTCTAACCGCTCTGTTCCCAAATAATTTTGCTTGTTTACATGTCTACCATATATGAAGATATTTTATAGATCTTTGCTTTAACACCAAGGTGGATCTAAGAGAGCATGACCAGTGCAATTGCACTATGACACCCAATGGAAGGTGAGGGAGGAGGGCAGATTTTGGTGATGTACAGGGTGCCACTGAAATCTGAGATGCCAAGGTTCACCACTGTTTAATATTTCCAGCAATTTGCTCACTTATCTTCCTTTTTTTTAAAAAAAATTTATTGAAGTTTTTATCTCTACAAAATAACAGAAAGAAAGAAACTTTAACACATATGTACATGTTAGTAACACAAAGCATCCCACCACCTCACACCACCACCACCACCATTGGTTCGACATAACTCGAAATGTGAGTTAAAATCTGACTTCCTTCCATCGTTGCTTGACCTTAATTCTATAACTCATCTTTACAGTTGTGTTGTTATATTGTATTTGACAAACATTCTGATTTTACTTGCATTTGTAACCTTTCCCCCTTACAAACTTTGTTCTTTGCATATCAATATTTCTGTACCAGAGCAGTGTTTTTTCGTATTTTCATTCACGCAACTCCATTCTTTTATTAAATTTTGATTTCTTTGACCTCTGATAGCTGCTGTCATTTTGGCCAATTCAACAAATTCAGTAAGTTTGATTTGCCAATCTATTATCTTCTTTCTTTCCTTCTACTATATATTTTGGAAAGTGGTTGGTCCATCTGTTTGCTATGCATTCGAAGGTTTCTAGATATAGCATCACCAAATACAGCAAGGCGATTCCTGAGATGGAGAAACCTGTTTTCATCTGCATTTGGATACTGTCAGACGGCATTTTGACTCAAGATGGGGGACTGAAATGTTCCAAAATGCACCAATTTGGACACCTCTGAATATATCACCACCCTATTTAGCAAGGTGGTTCCTGAGACCGAAAAGGAAGTTTTGGTCTCTATTTGGATATCATTGGATGCCAACTAGAATCAAGATGGTGGCCTGATCTTTTTAAACCTGCACTGATTTTAAGCAAATGTCAGGGACTGGGCAGAGGAGGAATGGTGGAGACCGCCTCCCCAGCCTGATCCTTCCAGAGAAGAAGAAGACAGTTCAGAATTACGACAGGGGTTTGAGGGAGATCACAGCTCAGAGGCAGATGAGGGAAAAAGCTGGGAAATAATGGGAGAGAAGGAGGAGGAAGAAGCACCAGAGGGAAGGACAGCTGATGGACACAGTGTCTTAGAAAGCATTCCAGACCCGCCATCTCCCAGAACCCGGTGAGCATTGAAATTAGGAGAGCAGAGAGCTCAGAGGCAGAGGGCACATAGCAGCACCCATAGTGATGATGCATGAAGGGAGGGGGGTGGAGACTCACTTGGAGCAATGCCATTATTCCAAGAGGCAGCATCTCTGTGAATATTGAATACAGTGGTACCTCTGGTCACCTACTTAATTCGTTCTGGAGGTCCATTCTTAACCTGAAACTGTTCTTAACCTGAAGCACCACTTTAGCTAATGGGGCCTCCCGCTGCTGCTGCGCCGCTGGAGCACGATTTCTGTTATCATCCTGAAGCAAAGTTCTTAACCTGAAGCACTATTTCTGGGTTAGCGGAGTCTGTAACCTGAAGTGTATGTAACCTGAAGCGTATGTAACCCGAGGTACCACTGTAAAAAGCAGTTGGTAAGAACTTTTCCTTGTCTTATCCGTTCCTGGTGACCTGCTGTGGGGATTGGATCCACAGCCGCCTGACACCAAATTTGGCATGAAACTAATAGGACTTCTTACACCATAGGGATTATGTTCCACAGTCATTTGGTTAGCCTTAATTTCTTTGTATTGGCATAGCCTCAGTGTCTGACAAGCAGCTGAAACAATAATCAATACCTATGCTTTTGAGAGCAGCTATCATTTAAATCAGGGATGGAGAAACTGTGGCCCTCAATATGTTTTTGGACTACAGCCCCCATCATCCCTGATCATTGGCCATGCTGGCTGAAGCCGATGGGACTCTTGAGTCCAACGATACCTGGAGGGGTGAGGTCCCGTATCCCCCATTTCACTGCAAGGATGGTGTGGGGATCACACAGGGTCCCCGGACGTTTGACAGTTTATTGATCCCTGTGCCATCACTGTGATTGCCTCTTCGCTGCCACCAACCCGTGTCCCTCGGGTACACACGGAGTCCAGACAGTTGTTAACATTAACAAATAATCATGTTTATTTTTATAAGCATGAACAAGCTTATGGTTTCAGTTAATTTTTCTTGTCAGTTTCTTAATCTTAGTTCCTTAATTGTCCTGTACGTTCCTAACAACTTCAAACTGATTATCCCAACTATCTATCTGACTCCACCTAACAATTCCTTTCACTCTCTCACCACACAACTCCACCTACCCAGAGACTTATCCTCCCTCTTCCTTCTCCAACTCCCAACTCTCAACTGACTTCCACACACTCCACCCCTAACTCTAACTCCCCCTATCTGTTTCCACTGGCCAATCACATCACACTCATTTAACCCTTTCCTTATGACCCACCTAGGAGGCAAACGCCACAGATGGTGACAGGGAACCTTTATGCTAAGTAATTAAGAATCATTGTAAGGGTTATGAATCATAGACCTGTGAGCAGGGTTGTGACAAACAAGCTTCACATCCTTTTTTTCTGGTTGCGCTTCTGTGTTTTGAAATAAGTGGCTTGATAAGCAGAAGGTCAACTGGTGAAGTGTTTCCTATCCCAGAGATGTTATAGCTCAGTGGCAGAGCATCTGCTTCCCATTCAGAGGGTTCCAAGTTCAATCCCTGGCATGTCCAGGTAGGCCTAGGCAGCAGTGAACTAGATAAGCTAAGGGAAGATAGCTTCCTGTTGGGGGGGGAGAGGACAGTGTGGTGTAGTGGCCAATGCTTTGAACTAAAACCCAGGAGACCAGGAGTCCAAATCTTCACTCAGCCATGATTCTCACTAAATTACCTTGGGTAAGTCATTGTCTCTCAGCTTAATCTACTTCACAGGTCTTCAGTGAGAATGAATTAGCAGGGGTGAGAGAACGACATATAATAACAACAATAATAGTAATAGTAGTAGTAGTAGTAGTAGTAATAATAATTTATTATTTATACCCCACCCATCTGGCTGGGTTTCCCTAGCCACTCTGGGTGGCTCCCAAAAGAATTAATGGTGATGGTGATGATAATAATAATAATAATGCGATAAAACATCAAACATTAAAAGCTTCCCTAAACAGGGCTGCCTTCAGATGTCTTCTAAAAGTCAGATAACTGTTTATTTCCTGGACATCTGATGGGAGGGTGTTCCACAGGGCAGGCGCCACTACTGAGAAGGCCCTTTGCCTGGTCCCTGTAACCACACTTCTTGCAGTGAGGTAACCACCAGAAGGCCCTCGGTGCTGGACCTCAGTGTCCGGGCTGAACGATGTGGGTGGAGATGCTCCTTCAGGTATACTGGGCCAAAGCCATTTAGGGCTTTAAAGGTCAGCACCAACACTTTGAGTTGTGCTTGGAAACGTACTGGGAGCCAATGTAGGTCTTTCAGGACTGGTGTTATATGGTCTTGGCGGCCGCTCCCAGTCACCAGTGTAGCTGCCGCATTCTGGATTAGTTGCAGTTTCTGGGTCACCTTCAAGAGTAGCCCCACGCAGAGCGCATTGCAGTAGTCCAAGCAGGAGATAACCAGAGCATGTTGCTTTGAGCTCCTTGGAGGAAAAGCAGGATATAAATGTCATAAATAAAATTAAATTATAGACCTGCTGACTTTTTTCCCCTTATCACAGAACTATTAAATTCACCACAGGCTTCCAGGAGAAGGGCGTGCTTGTGTGAATGCCAACCATAGCTGCCAAGATTCCTCATACATTTTGTTTTATTTTGGATTTCCCCACATCTGAAACTGGTTATCAAATTACTTCTGAAAATTCAGCATATCTCAACATTACTGGTGGTCCCTCTTGAAGCTGGAACGAAAAGGGCTGCCAGCACCTGCTTAGAATGTCCCCAGGTAACACCTCCTCAGTCAAATATCCTTTGTCCGTTGTAGTTTCTCGGGAAAAATATGGCTGGAGAAAATATTGATCTAGCAGGAAAAAGTACACCTGGCAGTCTCCTGGGAATATAGATTGCTCTTTTCTGCAGCATAAACCCAGGCAGAGGTCATTGGAGGGAGGTGGAATTCAGGAAAGCAGAAACTCAGGGAATCCTTCACTCAAAGATGTTTCCTGCTTGGCAGGGGGTTGGACTCGATGGCCCTTGTGGTCTCTTCCAACTCTATGATTCTATGATTCTATGTATAAAAAGTGACTTTCTCAGTAGGAGGGTAATGGCAAACAGATTTGCAAAGTGTCTTAATGTTGTTCAATCCTGGACACACTTGAAAGTAAACCTTTCAAAGTTCAGTGAAGCTTACTCCCAGGTATGTATGCAAAGGATGGCAGCCCAGAAGTGGTTGGTGTTTTCATATTCATCCCAGGTCTGGAACGGAAATCAATGTGGCTAATTTGGTTGGTATTCACTGTTGTTGTTGTTGTTGTTTTCAGTTCACAAGTGATACGTAATGATACATAATTAAAGCCTTCCTCCCCAGTTTAATTAGTAATGTAAATGATTTCGTAGCATTTCAGCATTGCAGACAATGAGATAAATAAAGTAGCTTTTGTTGGAAGCCAAACTGCAGTGGAATGGAAACAGCACTGCTTATATTATATACAGGGCAGAACAGAAATCAGTGCTTTCTTAAATCCCTATAATTAATATATACTTACAATTTGTCGTTAGAAGTATATACTGCACATATATAATTACAATAAAACAAATGTAAGGTTTATGTTACCTTGAAATTGACATGCCAAATAAAGTCCATTGCTCTAAAAATGCATTTGACTGATTATCAACTGTTTTTTTTGTAACACGTTAACTTAGACATGATTACAATAGTTCATATTCTGTTAAATCATTTTGAAATGGATGGAACAGATTTTGTTTGTATGATATTTAAAATGTACCACTAAGTAATAGCATGACAGTACACTAGCAGGCCTGTTGTTTTTGTCCATGGAGTTTTCTTGACAGGGATACTGGAGCAGGCATGCTTTCTTAGAAGGAAGCTCCACTGTGTTCATTGAGACTTACTTCTAGAGAAGTCAGCAAGGATCTGATCTTTATCCCCCACTTGTTTGACATATTTGGGAGAAATAGTTATGGAGGGAACTGCAGGCCTGACCACTGGACATCAGCTACACTTCTAAGATTTCACAGGGCTGTTAATTTCAATGTATATTTTATATTTTATGTAAACTGGTTAGAGGTGTCTTTAATTAAGCAGTAGGCAACTTCTCTCAAATATTTATTTTTTAAATCTTTGTAGTCCTATGGTCTGGAAACTTTTTCTCTTCATTTTTTCCAGAGATAGAGAGACACACAGAGAGGAACGATGGATCTCAGGAAGTTGACATTTTCCTGTCCGGTATTAAACACTGCACCTTTTATTGTCTTCCCACAGAATCACGGCAACACAAGTCCCTTGTTCAATGTAGATTTGCATCTAATAGAGTACAGTTTTCTTACTGCAGTGGTGGGAATTGGTGATTTCACCCATGGGCTTTGTCCACCATGCCTTTTATGCGGTCCCCGACAAAGTACTCACATGAGAATGTGGTTTTCAATTTTCCCGTTTTCTCTTTTCCTAGGATTCTTTGGATTTTGCTTTCTAAGATAAAGTGTCACTCCTGCTGTGAGCAGAAAAGGCTAGAAGGACCTTCTATTTTCACACAGTCTTTATGATCTTCACTACTTGCCTTTCACATTTGAATAAATTCAGAAATAGCAAGCCAACGCTTAGGTCTTTCTCTTTCTGAGATATAATGGCTGTCCTTATTACACATCACAGAACTGAATATTTTAAGGTCATCCAAAGTCTGGAGCAGACAGACCTCTCCAAACTAAGCAGAAGTCTCGACTCCCCACCCCCCAGTAGCAGAGATTTTAACTAGTGCCAAAAGAAAGAAAGAAAAGGAAGCCCATTGGAACGTTCCCCTCTGCTGAGTATTATTGCTGCTGTAAAGATAATATTAATATACATTTGCAGTGCTTTGTGGATCATTATCTGGCCAGCGACCAAACACAGGCATAAAACATTAACAGCTAAAAAGGGAGTTATGGATTCCTTTGGGTTTATAATTTGTTGTTCATTACAACCAGCCACCGAAGTAGTCCTGAGCTGATTCATAGAGAATAAAATAGATTTGGTTTAATAATATCTCCAGGTCTTTGAATAAATTATGAATGCATCTTGACTGCAAGAAGGAGACAGTGACATTATGAAACGGTAATGAACAGATCTTCAAGAGGAAAACAACCTCGGATGATCATCACCCCATTCAAAACCTATTAAGCTCTGATGAAATGAAAAGAGGTTTCTCTCTCCCCCCTCCTTCCCCTGTGTAGATGTGCAACAAGTCGTAAGTTGTGGACTTTAATAATATATTTTCTTCACAAGCAATAACACAGCAATTAGGAAGTGCTCAGTGAGGTAGAAATAATGGTAACTGCGGTGCAGATTAGCTATGCTGAAGGGAGTTCGCAGACGTACAGTAAAACAACATATCCCAGGCTTTTCCTGTTGTATAATTTCTCCTTTTATTTACTTATCATCTCACTTAAAGAGGACTCCTGGCAGTAATGAGGCTACATAAATGCACACCCAATCCCTAGCAAGGTGCTGCAAATGATATCAAAGATAAATCTAATGATTACCTATTATAATGACAGTGCAATCTTGTCGTCACTCATGGGGAAATTGTGCTGTGGTGAGAAGCCCAAAGCTGGCGAGAGATTGCCGTTGCACAAATGTGTATTCATTATTTCTGAACCTACTTTGCCTTCGCCTGGCTGTTGATAGAAGATGGGTAATTTGGTTGAACAGGCGCCACTTAGACGGGAGTTCACAAACCTTTCGGCTCGGACAGTGATACACATAAGCAACGTGGCAAATAAGAAAATAATGAGCTTGAAAACATGTGGGCCTTTTTCTTCCTTGGAAATTCTCCAGTATGGGCTGCATACTTTTTTCTCTCTGTTTTTTTTTTTAAAAAAGAGAAAGCTCCATAATCTCAGCTGCCACATCACATCTCAAGCAGTGTAATTGCTTCCTAAGTAAGCATCCATAAACAGCGTCCTAATGCAAGTTTCCGTACAAGAAGGTGTTTTTCATTCCATCAGCCCTAACACAGGGAAATGGGTTTCGAAGACTACAGTCCCCCAAAGAGCTTTAGGTTGCAGTTCTACATGCAAGGGGCAGCCAATAAGATGCGCTCAGGATGTTATTGGGCTCCATCTCCCATCAGCCCCACCCGGCAGGGCTAACAGTTAGGGATGATGGGTGCTATCATCCAACAGCATTTGGGGGGGCACCTTGTTGGCTATCCCTGCTATGCGTATTTACCTTAGTAAGTCCCACTGAACATAGTAGGACTTCTGGAGAAGCATGTATAGGATTGTGTAGTTAATGATGAAGACATGGCTTTCCAGAAGTAGCAAAACTTGCATTGACTTCGTTCGGAGCAGGGCTGAAGCTGCATCAGTGGTAAAGTAATCTTAGATCTTAAAGAGCCAGTGTGGTGTAGTGGTTAAGAGCGGTAGACTCGTAATCTGGTGAACCGGGTTCAATTCCCTGCTCCTCCACATGCAGCTGCTGGGTGACCTTGGGCTAGTCACACTTCTCTGAAGTCTCTCAGCCCCACTCACCTCACAGAGTGTTTGTTGTGGGGGAGGAAGGGAAAGGAGAATCTTAGCCGCTTCGAGGC